TGTTTAATGGAGCTTTTGGTCTGCTAAGAAATTTAATTCACCTATAATTTACACGTTACATTTTTAATTTTTTTAGCTATGTTTAAGTTTGTTTTTGGTGTCTTACTGTGCAGAATTTTAAAAATCTTGTAAAATGTAGCAACATTTTCTGTATGGATTTGGGGCTATATGTGCACTTCTAAAATTATGCAAGTTTCTAATCCCGGTATTTTCATAATTTTTACTTTTTGTTTAAATTCCTAGAAATGGGATTTTAGTTTTCTCCAAATAGAGAAATCTACAGCTGTGCAAACAAAATTTTGAATAATGCATCCTTTTCACCTGGACTTGATATACTATCTTTATCACATATTTAATCTATTTATAAGTGGGCCTGTTTGGGTCCTCTATTCCATTCATCTATTTTTCTATGGAACACTAAACCTATTTACATTATGGACCATTTGTAATATGATTTGACATTTTATAGGAAAACCATTCTATCGCTTTTGTTCTTTTATAAACAAAAATTTTGGCAAGTCTCATTTTTACTTTTTGGTGATTTTTAGAATCAATTGCTACTTTCCTCCGCAGATTAGACTTTGATTACATTTGAATTATATAATGCATTAATTTAGAATAAGATGGAGAATTACATTTTTTTATTCTTGAGTCTTCCCAAAAAAAGAACATTCTATGCCTTGTTTCACTTCTTTGGTCCTGTTATGTCTTTTTAACAAATATTTACAAATTCACTTCATAATGGTGTTATACCTTTCTTTTATACATTCCAAGATGAATAAAAATTGTTTGTTTTTATGAATTGAATCTTTAGCCCCACTTTTTCTACCAAGTTATTGTACAGGTAATGGGAGAACTGATTAATTTTATTCATATTGTATCTAGTTACCTTCTGGAACCCTTTAAGTTTTCTAATAATTTTTCAGTTGATAATCTTGATTATTTCAGTAAACTGCCTCCCAGTATACTTTTAATTTCATTTCTGGTTTTGTTATGTTGACCAGTCTTTGCAGAATACAGTCGAATATTAAAATAATCATAGTTAGCTCCTTTGTGTAGTTGCCGATTTTAATTCGTGTCTCTAGTGCTTTATTATTGTGATATGTAATATTGATTTTCTATATATACTCCTTATAAATTTTAAAACTTTCTTAAATTCATAGTTAGCTTTCTTTTAAACTGGTGCTGGAATTCAGAAAATTTTCAATGCATCTGTTTGAGAAGCTGAATAGATTTCTCCTTAATCCTTAATCCTTGGAATACAGAGTTTAACATTGACCTTTTTTTTAAACATTGTAAATTCTATCCGATATATTCTTTTTGGACACAATTTAGTTTATCAATTTTTGATAATGGTATTAGCATCTATGTTCAAAGATAAATTGATCTATGATTTTTTTGTATTTGTCAAAGTTTGATATTCAGGTTATGCTAGCCTTGTATAATCATTAAGGAGACTTTCCCTCCTCAAGCTTTGGAGCAGTTCAGATATCATAGAAATTAATCTGATCCTTGAAGATTTTATGTAACAGCACAGTTCTAAAATAGTGTGGCTTGATTCCTTTTTTGGGTATAGATCTTGGGCAACCTTTTCAGTTCTAACATAGTTATTCTAGGTCTCTTCCATTTTTTTACCTCTTAAATCATTCTGGTGATTTATATTTTCCTAGATGATCATTTGTTTAATCAGAATATTTATTAGCATAAAGTTATGTGTATTATTCTTTTATAAATTTTAAAGTTTTCTGTGATTTTGGTATTACTACCTTTCTTATTTCTGGTGCCTTCCATCCAGCTTTTTGGAAAGAAAAGGCCTTGCCTGTTTTTATCCAATAACCACATTTTATTCTCCTTTTTTTTTTGGTTTATTTTCTTTTCCTAGCTTGTTGAAAATAATTTTATTCTGTACTGGTTAACTTGGGATTTTCCTTTGACTACTAGTCTGGATGTGTCCTATAGGTTTTGATGACTTATATTCCTAATATTAGTTTCGATTCCTTTGGCCCAAGAACTATTTAAAATAGTACTTTTAAATTTCCAGGTATTTGGTTTGGGAGTTATTTTTGTTTTTAATTTCTATCTTCTTTGTAATTCCTATTTCACTGTGGTCGAAGAATATATATGGTCCTCTGTATTTTAAAGTAGGTTTTCTTTATCTTTTGGTACATTGTCAGTTTTTTTTTAAGTAGTCCATAAACATTATATTTATGTATATACATATATCACACACACATACACACAAATATATAAACACACATATATATTCTGAACTCAACTAATGTATTTTAGGGATAGGAACATTAAGACTTGGAGAATTATATGACTTGTTTTATGTTATGGTAAGTAAGTGGTATACCTAGCTTTTTGAATCCTGGTCTAGCTGACTTCCCTGAGCTCTTACTGCCTCCAGAGTATATTGTATGTTTGTATATTTGGTATCTTTTGATACATATGTACAGTTATATCAAAGTAAAGTCTGTAAGAAGTTATACATTTGTGTTAAGAAGTTACACATTGTGTAAAAAAGAATATGATTTTATAATATTTAGAAAAGTAGAAAAAAAGTCTGTGTAGAGATTATTAGTATCTTTAGAACTGAAGATTTCTAAAGACAGAATTCTTACTGAATGGTTCATCTGTAGGTAGATGGGGAATGAACAATACAGGCATCACACTTATAGAGAACTTAAGAAACAAAGGTATGCATGCCTCTGAGGGGAGACAAGCCTGACCTAGATGGAAGGAGGTTTTTATTGAAGATTAATAAGAAAGAAGAATGAATAGGTAACAATGGATCTGACTAATAGGGTCATGTTAAAGTTCGGGTGAGAGAGAAATTAAAAAATTAAATGCAAAGTAGTTCTACCACCTGATGACACATGTCACATTTTATTTTGTAAATGTGTGGGGGTTTCATTGAAGTATCTGATAACTAATGTATACAATTACCTTCTTAAACAGCCAAAAAGTATGGAAAAGACAAACACAATTCTAAGACAGGATTCTGAGGAAGTAATGTGAGCCAAATTTAACAACTCAGCAATGTTAACTTTAGTCATCACAATAGATGGTGCAGAGGTCTGCTAAATATATCAGCGTGAAACATCTGTTGAAAATTTGAAGAAATAGATATGATTGCAGTATATTTTAAAAGTCAGAAAACTAAAAAGGAAGTTAATAAATTTTAGAAATGGAGAAAAGTTTATATTGGTAAAATATGTTTTTTTGTGTGCTTGAAAAATTACTCCTAAAATTTAGATGTGCCTTTGCTGGCTTAAACACCTATAAATTGTAAATGACATTTACTTGTGAAAATTAGTAGAATCTTAAATAGAACAAAAGCAAGAGATAAACACAATCTTTGAATAAAAGAGGATATATACTCCAGCTCTCTAATAGAAATCTATTTGCAATATATAAAAAAATCGTAACCTCTATTTTCGAAAGTAGGTAGAATGGATAACCACTTAGTGTTTTGATTCTTTATTTCTAAACCTCCTACAGTATTGTTTTAAGTGAGTCACTACAAATTTATTTTATTTTAGATCATACTAATTTTAGTCAAAAGGATGATATGTGAAATATGAGAATATTCAAAAAATCTTGTAATAGCCTATGATAATCATTGTCTTCAGGGCCATAGTAAGGAAGAAAGTCATTGTTTTTGTTTCAGTTATTCACAAAATCAGTATATTTTTGTTTTTAAATGAACATGTGCCTTATTTCCAAATTGGGAAAACAAGAAGATTTAAAATCTTAAAGAGTTCTAAGCAAGCATAAGTGTGCTAATTAGGTATGCAGTGAAATGAGCTTTTATAATCTTACATGTCAAAACATAGTTAATTTTCATGGGTATTTTTAACAACAGAGTCAGGACTTTAGAATGACATGTATATCCTAAAAATAAAAAGGAATAATTTATTTTATCTATGAAGAATTATCTTACTCTATTTATAATATTAAGCTATATAGAAAGGACTTATTAACTTTCCCTTTAATGAAATCTAAGAATATATAACTAGAATCTTCATTTCATGTTTGTCAGCTACATTTTCTCCCTTCAATCAAATACAGCCATGTAGGTGGTAATATCAGGTTGGCCAAGTATTGCTTAAGAAAGTCACAGTGTTTTGTAATATATTTTGCATGGGCTCCAAAATGTTTCCTGGTTATAGAGCTAGGATTTAGATATGTCTCATATAAATGAATATTTTTAAAAGTTATTTTTAATCATATGAGCTTCTTATATATAGCAGTATTTGATGTATAACTCTACATATATTTCTATATGAACAGATATTTTCCACGTCATTTGGCTATGTATGGAAGCATTTATTAGTATTTCTTACCTCCCTTTATAATTAGTTGTAAATTCTGGGGTGTTTCTTATTTTTTTTTAAATGTAAGCTCAAACCTGAATGTAGTAATAGTGATAATATTAATAATCAGTACATAAATGAAGTTTAAATATTTTTGAAGCAACGAGGAATTCATTCTGTGGTACTATACTCTTGGACCTTGCTTTTCCATCCTTTATTTGTGAACTATTCAGCTACAGGTTAATTGTAATGATAATATTGTGCATTCAAAAGCCAGCCATTGTCTTTCAGATATGGGGATTCTAGGGAGCTAGAATTTGGGTTGTTAGAGATGTACATCAAACTGATATTAGAAAGCATAGGAATGGAAATCTCAGTCTTATGATACGTCTGAATTGATTTTGACCAAGCTCTGACAAGTTTTACAAAGTTATTCACATAGTAGGTTTAGATGCATTGTGTAGTTTACCACTTCTCTGTGTGGAAACAAAAAGAACATTTATATAGTGAAGGGATGGGGCATATGTGATCATTTTTTAGGAAATACTTTCAAACTGTGGAACCTGGGGCAATATGTACCACCTTGTTTGTAATACTCTAAAAGGAAAAAAATAAAGTTAAAATACTAAAGATTTCAATTATTATAATTAACTAAAATTGGCATTTTGTTGCATTTTCTAGGCAATTAAGTTAGAATATTCAAGACTGGTTAAATTGGCCCAAGAAGATACCCCACCAGAAACAGATTATCGGTTACATCATGTAGTAGTTTACTTTATCCAGAACCAGGCACCGAAGAAAATCATTGAAAAAACATTATTAGAACAATTTGGAGACAGAAATTTGAGTTTTGATGAGAGGTAATTTAAAAATGTGAAATATCTAATTCATATGCTCAAATTTTCTTTTTGTAGCTCCCATTGCAGTTTTTGATTTTTTATATTATACATCTACAAAGGCATATTTCAATAAATACATCACACAATTTGACTTCACTCAATTTGAACAGTTGCTTTGCAATTTTCTCTTGAGTTTATAGTCATGACCTTTAAAAGTTTGAACTAAAAATAATTTAGATCATTTTAGTACATTTTAATTGTGGACCAAGGTACTGAGCTAAGCAATATAAGGATAAACAGAAGAATATAAAGTAACTGCCCTTTGGAACTCAGTATTTTAGAGAATAAAAGAATTTCTTAATCCCTGCACTATGAATAGTTTGAGTCAGATAATAATTTCTTGTGGAGGGGCTACACTATAATGTAATAGGACATTTAGCAATGTTCCTGACCTCAACCAGTGAAATGCCAGTAGCACCCTGTCAAGTGGTGACAATGCAGAATGTCCCCAGATTGCCAAATATCCCTTGAAGGGAGCAAATCACTGTTATTTGCGAATCACTGGAGAAAAGAATTTAATCATATATACAAATAAAATAATTAAACATCCTCTGATGTAAAGAGAAGCCTTAAAATGGGCAAATTAATTATAGTTTATCCAAAAATGTTTCCTAGAAACTCCTATAAACTATGATATTAAAAAAATTAGTTATTCTAGTTAGAATTAATACTAATACAAAAAATTTATGCCTCAGTTATATATTCAAAGAATTGAAAGTTGATTTAAAATACAGAAACATTCATGCTCTCTTGGAGTTCATTGGAGTCACAATTTAATTATGAAATAAATTATTCTCCTTTTATGAATGTCTCAAAAATACTGAATTAAAAATACTGAATTTGGAAAAAGTGTTCATGGAGTAGTCACATTGACTTCTTAATCTTTTGCAACTATTTGTCCTGAGGACTACAAATAGTCCATTTGTTTTGATAATTTAGCATCTTTCATGCTTAACAATGAGATGCATGTGGTCACTGCATATATTCTATGGGGATTTCTTTAGATTCTGATCATGAAATCCATTAAAATGTTTCCATTCTTAGCTAAAATGATAGGCATATTTTAGATTGCTTTTTGGTATTTATGAATAATGCCATTTGGGGGAAACTTAGATTAATATTTCTTAAGCTTGCTCAATAGATAAACGTTTTATTTTTATTACCTATACAGTCTTTATTAATAGAATAGAATATAAAAACCATATGTAAAAATAACATGGCAAATTTAAATTAGAATTATTGATACTGTCTTTATATACTTTGTAAGTATCCAACATTGGTGTAAAAAACACATTTTTCACTTTACTGTTTGGGAGTTATTTCCTCAAAAAGTATTGAGCTGTGGAAATGGATTTCATTTTAATGTGTTGGGTAGTTTTGTTTTGTGTCACACACACTTTCAGTTTTTATGAATTTTGCTTTTGATTTAGGAATGCATTTCTTTTATTTGAAGGTGTCACAACATAATGAAAGTTGCTCAAGCCAAACTTGAAATGATAAAACCTGAAGAAGTAAACGTGGAGGAATATGAGGTAATGTGCCTTCTAGAGGCTGAACAGTAGGTTGAAGAATCCTGTAATTCACTGATCTTCATTTCAGCACAACTGAGCACATGAGAAAATGAGGCATAGAGAGGTGAGGTAACCTGCCCCAAGTTTTCACAGCTAGTAGGTTACATCTTCGTTGACAGAACCTGCATTCTTTTAGGTACTATGGTACACCTAAGTCATACTGTATTTTTCTTCATTTGCTGTATCAGTTATTTTAGGGAGAAGTTGAAAATTTGTTTTAATCATTATAGCCGTATATATTGTCATTACTGGACAGTGTTTTGTGTGTTAGAGAGAACATGTTGCACATCATGTACTTGTAATTTTTGTGCACAGAATTCTCTGCATTAACTTTGGCTTTAAAATTATATAATTTTTAATTTACCAGCTTAAATACCTAGTATTTCTTCAGACTTAAATTTAACTTTTTACTTTGTCCTTTTTAATTTATACAGCTAGTAAACTTTAAGTTGATTTCATAAGTGCCTTTGATTGTTTGGTCCCAGTAACAAATTTAATTACTTTAGATTTCCCTCAAACAATTATTGTATTCACCATATTAACAGATAAAAGAAAAACATTAATTTTTGATGAAAACCTTAGCTATCCTGGATTACAAGGTAACTAATCTGCTGAAATGTGTCTCAAAAAATAAAAAATAAAACAATAGCAAATATATAAGAATTGTAAACATTGAAAGCTTTCCTTTTGTGACCAGGAAAAAGGGATGCTGCAATCCCCCCTTTTATTCAGAATTGTACTGTAAGTTCAGGCAGGACAGTAAGACAACAAAAATTAAAAAAAGTAAAAGATTGAGCAAGAAAAAAAATACCATTATTTACAGATTTTATACCTAGAAAAAACAAAATCTAAATAAATTTATTGGGACAATAATAAAGTGTTGTTCTGTAAATGCCTAAGGAGCTTCTAGGTGTGAATGGAAACCTGCTCTTGACAGTGGGAGCAGGGAAAGGCCAATGAAAGAGGCAAGCATTCCAAGTTGATAGGCAGCAGGCCTAAATAAACAAGGGAACTTAATACAGAGCTTGTCTTATATGGCTGTAAGATGAGGAGATCTTCATACCCACCAGCCAAATCTTAAAAGTTTTATAGAATTCTTAACTGGGTTCAGTCGCGTTTACTGTCCAGATGATATCAACACTGCATCACTGTTTCAAGGCTATGTCTTTGAGGCAGCCTCTGGGAGCAGGGGAGACAGGCAGAACCCATATTATAACGATGGAATGGAGGTGAGGAACCTCTGATTGCTGGAGTCCAGCTTATATGTCAACTGGCAGTCACTTCTCAAGGACGTTCCCTCAGCAGAGAGCTTTGCAACATGTAAACTTATGTCAAATACAAGTTTTATTCCTTTATCCCAGCAACAAATAGAAAATGAAATTTTTAAAAATGCGCCATTTACAATAGCATCCAAAACTATGTAGTATGTAGAAATTATTTGACAAAAAATATGCATGAATTTAAGAGACATTAAAGAAGACCTAAATAAATGCATATGTGTGTGTGTATATATATATATATATATATATACACCAAATTTCAGCAAGTTATTTGATGGAGCTTGATTAGCCGATTCAAAAATTTTGTGGAAATTCAAACATCTCAGTCTAGCCCAGACATTCTAGAAGAACAAAATAGGAAGGCCTATTCTATTAGAACTCAACATAGTATCTTAACAATTATGCTTTGTAACAATAATAGCATAAGAATGGGTAAATTAGAACAACAAAGCAGAATAGAAGATCTAGGAATACATTGACAAATAAATGTACACAAAATACCAGAGTTAGTAAGCAAATGGGTTACTCCTGTTTTGAAGATTCAAGTTATGTGGGACTTGATTTTTAAGTGCAATTTGATGCTGCAGTCCCTCCCTAATAAGGATACTTTATCAGTTTAGATGAAAACTTCTCATATTCTAATTGCACAGCCATTAAATCTTACAAATATTTGTATGACATGCTTTTGGAATTTGTGTATCCTACCTCTTTTCATCTTGCTATAAAGTCAAGGCCTTCAGACCAAATCCACCTATTTTTATAAGTAAAATTTTGCATACTGTGTATGTGTTTTCACACTACAGTTGTAGAGTTGAGTAATTACAACAGAGACTGCATGGCCTGCAAAGCCTAAAATATTTACCATTCAGCTCTTTACAGAAAAAGTTTACCTACTCACAACTTTTAAGGCAATTCTAGTGACAGTAAAGTGGCAATTTGAATACATTCCCCAGACAAGCTAACTTTATACTTGCAGATAGATTTTTATCTTTACATATTATTAAGTAATGAAAATTATGCCTAAAAAAGTTAAATACAAAAATTAAAAAGTTAAAATACTTATATTCAAGGAGGGTAGAGTTGGTCAATAACTGGTTTTATAAATGTTTTAATTTCATTTTTATATAATAATGTGTGTATACAAGCTTTAATACCTTTGTATCAGTATCTGTACCTCTTTTAGGTTAATCCTATATTGAGTCTTACGGTTTTCCTTGAATCAGTTTTTATTAAAAAGGGCAAGAAAAAAAATCCTGATTTTTTTTGTTTCCTAGAGCTTACAGGATGTCATTTCTGAGTCATGTAGTTCTATTGCATGCTCTGTAATTGTTTTTTTTTAAGGGAGGGGCAGTTGAAACGTGAAGCTCCTATTCCCTTCACCATCTCAGATGAAGCTACCACATTTAAAATTTAGCACAAATTTGGCAAAATTAAAGGTTGAATTTATTGTGATATAATAGTATACTTTTTCTTTTAGTTCCTTAAAATTCTTCATCAAATAGCAGTGTTTGGTGTTGATTCATATTAGAATAGTAACTTATTTTACCTCCTATATTGGTGTGATGTAGAGCTATAAAAATGATATACTTTTATACTGAAGAGTATTTGAGAGTAATAACCTGATTGATTATCCTGCTTATCGTGTTTGTGTTATCTTTTAGTAGGATCTTTATTATTTAAATACTCATCAATGTCTAATTTTTACATTTATTTTTATATTCATAAATACTCATGTGTCAGAAATTAAAGTCGACTTAGATCTAGTTTATCTTAACTTTGAACTCTTTGCTTCTGTTAATTTGAATAGTTATCAAAACAATGTATTACTTTATACATGGTTTTCGTTATAGTTTTAATGTCTTCTTACACATACTTTTAATATTTTCTTTCACCTATAGGAGTGGCATCAGGATTATAGGAAGTTCAGGGAAACAACCATGTATCTCATAATTGGGCTAGAAAATTTTCAAAGAGAAAGGTAAGACAGAGTGCACAAATATGAAACAAAAAGCCTAATTTTTTTACTTAACCCTATTCAGATATGACTCACAGAAAAGATTTTATTCACAACATGTATTTTTAATAAGTTTTTATTTTAGGAAGTTTTAGATCTACAGAGAAATTGCACCATTAGTACAGAGAGTTCCCATATACCCCACATTCCATTTAGTATGTTTCCATTTTATATTAAATCTGTAAGGCTGGTATTAGCATCTTGGTTTTTATCAACTCTCAAACACTACAGTTGAAGCTTTGGATGAAATAGGATTACATTAAAGCATCAAAGTTTGCTGGGAACCAAAGAAGCTGGTACCCAGTTCATGGAATTCTTTGTATTGCCTAATGTCTGCTTTCAGTCACCAGCTTTTTTCATATTCTTTCTGAGTCTATTCTTGACTTCAAGTCAGAGATAGCGTTTCCAACCTTACTCTGCCCTAACTTTCAGCTACTGTTAAAAATATAGCTCTAGGAAACTGATCATGTATCTTCTAAGTATTGTGACTACAGAAACAATTAAGATTATTTTTTATTTAAATTACAGATGTTTTTTAAAGGACTTTCTACTGCTAAATTATAATATTGTTATATATTATTTTAATTGCTATTAAGAAAGGATGGATATTGAATTATTTATTATTATAGACTGTTTGCTAGTTTGCATTTACTTATTATCCACATAATTGTTAACTCATATCCTTTAACATTATTTGCCCAGTAATTTTTTTTCTTAGAAAGTGCTATATTTTAAATATACTATAACATTGCAGCCAAATAAAAAGGTTATTGAACTCTTTCTTTTCTTTCTTTCTTCCTGTCCTTTGCTCCCCTCACGTCCCCCCTTACCTCCCCTCACCTCTATGTAAAGTTAAGAAACCCCCACTGAGGCAACTTGGACTGTTACTTCTAGAGCCATTCTGTCCAACATTGTGGCCACCAGCCATGTGTGACAATTTAAATTAATTAAAAACTTTAAAACTAGAACTTCAGTTCCTGAGTCACACTAATCACATTTTGAATGTTCAGTATACACATGTAGCTAGTAGTTACTGTATTGTCCAGCACAGATATAATACTTCCATCATTGCAGAAAGTCCTGTTGAACAATGCTACTGTATTCACTGGACAGTGCACAATACTATCATGTTTACACTTACCAAATTTTAAAAGTTATCACACAAAATTAAAAAGTACTGTTAATATTTGGATACAGTTATTACAGTCCTACAAATTTTAAGATAATTCACTTTGGTCACTAGGGTAGAAAACTATATTGATCACTTGCTCCATTTTATGAATTATTATTTTGGTCAAAGTTTTATTTCTTTAATAGGAATATTCAAATTCACTTTAGGATATCTGAGATTAATATTTCTGAGAAAAAAATTACTATGATCTTATAATTGAATAGAGTGTCTAAGATTTCAATTTTATGGGAAACAAACTAAAACTAGGTTCTGTAGAGATGTAATAACTTTGTCAAGGTCACATGACTAGGGAGAGAAAAATTGAAATAGAGACCTCTGTATTTTAAAATTTAACAGATAAATACACACAGTATTTATCTCAATAAGACCTTTAAAGATGAAAGTCACTTTTTTGCTCTTTGCGTACCTTCTATGTTAGCTTTTCTTAGCATTTGTTAAAGGACTTTAAGATGTAACTTAGAAGTGTGTTTAAATGTATAATTTGCTTATTAATTCTCAAATATATACTTGATCAGAAAGTAATATTATAGTAAACAAATATTTATTAAATTGGAAAGATCAACTAGAAAACTGGTAATAGTGACAAATAATACAGAATATCGTGAAAAGTGTTAATTTTACGCTCTACAGCTGTTATCATAGCTAGCAACATATAAGACAGTTGTTTTTTAAATGAAAACACAATACTTAAAAACTTTGGAATATTTACTGATGCACAGTTGTTAATTCTGTGAGTAGTGTAGTGAAATCGTGTTTTTAGAAACCATAATTTTGCAGTAGTATAAGTGAAGATAGAGTCTACCACACTACATGGATCTTATTTTATCTTAAAATAAGAATGTGGTAACTGCACTGCTGAATCTTACTCAGATTTACTTGAAAATATTTTTGTAAGCATTTTTAAAGTTAAGATAAAGAACAATGGAAAATTGTTCAATGGAAAATTAGAACAAGGTCATGGTTTTAGAGCTATTCTCAGAAAGGTGACTCAAGTATAGAAGGCCAGATAGGAATATCATTGAGGGAGAATTTTTAACAGGAAACTTAATAGCTATAAAAGAGAAGTAGATGTGCCAGCAAACTGTCTTAACTTAGTGGTATAAAACACCATTTAATATCATTAACTCTCCCTTCTTTTTCTTTCTTTCATAAATAAAACAAAAAATAAGTTTAATTAAGGTTATGATCATTTTATTTCAAAATAAAATTTCATACTCAAGTTTTCTCAAAAAATTTCTGAGAGGAACATTTTCAGAAAATATTTAAAATAAGTTATTTTTCATGAAAGAGTTTTTAGGTGTATAATTTGATTTCTCATGAATTATGTACATTACTTTCCAAATTCCACATTTAACATTTGGAGTATAGAATTGATTTATATTTAAGCACATGAAATAAATAATAAACAGTAATACTGATTAGCAGTGTAACCCAGACTTGAAACAACCTGCTATTACTTTACAATATTTCATCTTGTAGGATATAACATTTTTTGAATTAATCTGTGAGAAGATATGATTGGAAAAACTGGCACAAAGGCAATACCCTAAAATATCTTTCATATTTAAGTTACATATATAGCTGTATATATTTTTCCTACAACACATTGGGAGTAGGATAATTATTTTTATAATAGAGGCAAATATATACAGGCAAATACAATATTCAAGCATTTTCCCCTCCTTATTTAAAACCTAGTTTGAACTTTACAACATCTCATACTGATGTAACATAGTTTATATTCAAATATAAATCAAAAGCCTAACCTTGAGAGCTCTTTATGTAGCATTTTCTTTTGTTTGTTTGTATTCCACTAGATTTCCCAGATTTGGAAGCCTTCTTTTCTATTTCTACTTACCCCATCTCCTTTGGACGTTCTCCACTCTATTAAATTTTTTTAGTGACTAGAATTGTGCCTACACAGAGAAAAAAACCTGACTTGTCACTGAATGACCAAATGGTATTTGTGATAAAGAAGAAAAATAACCTGATCCTAAAAACAAAAATAAAATTATGTTGTTTAAAAAGTAGATTGTTGACTTTTCACGTGAGTCTAGGTTTTGAGTCTAAAGGGAAGGCATTGGGAAAATAAATATCAAAACACAAATATATGTGAATTCATTGATTATGGGCCTTTTTCTCCAAGTCCAGGTTGGTTTGGATTTTTTGTTTGTTTACTTTTAAGATAAAACTATCTACTGGTTTCAGATATGGCTACTGCCAAAAGATGCTTTCAGGCTAAAATGTATCAGATGATTTTTTTTTTTTTTTGTATTGTAATGTTCTGGATAGTTAAAATTAAAATATGTACTTAAAATGTTTTATAATTGTAGTTGACATTTTTTTTTTACAAAGATGAAATCCTAATGCTATGTATTTCTGTTGATTTTTTAAGTTACATAGATTCCTTGCTGTTTCTTATCTGTGCTTATCAGAATAACAAAGAACTCTTGTCCAAAGGCCCATACAGAGGACATGATGAAGAATTGATATCACATTATAGAAGAGAGTGCTTACTAGTAAGTTGAATGTACATAGTATGTGTTTACTTTATCATTTGTCTTACATTGGACAGATTTTCCAGGTTCATATGTAGGTGATTAACTATAAATTCTGCTGGGTAAGCCTCATGATGACATCTGTAATTTAAGTGTACTCCCTTAAGATGGGAGAATATACTTATGCCTTCTTTATTAATCCTAAGCACTGCAGAAATATTCTTAAAATCTATCAGAATGATTATATATTTGTGTTTAGATTTCTTCTTCATTCTACCATTCCCTTATATTCATGGGAGAGAAGGGGCTGCACAGAATGTGAGAAATTATCGTTACTATTACAGAAAATCAGTTATTATGAGTTTTTATAAATAATGGTAAAAGTGGTGTACATAATAACAAAGGATTTATTGTAATACAGTATCCTTTTTTTTCTCAAGTATTTTCATTTTCTGTGTGCTGAAATATTACCGTTGTTATAAATTTTAAAAAAGCTTTTTAGCAGTTTTTTTGCAAGTTTACTATCTCGATATCTGGAGTACTTCGTTAATATTCTTTGAGTCAGCTAACCTTACATATAAAATCACAAATTCCATCTTCATACTTTTTTCTGATAATATTTCATTCTTAGTTAACTGTTATCACTCCATTCTATATTGTGAACTCCTAAGTTGTGATTTTTTTCCTACACAAAAAAATATATATACACAAAGGTATTAGTGTATGATTTTTGAACCTATGTAGGATGTACATAGTTAAAGTATACTTTAAGAAACTTCATATAGTGTTCCTGGTGAAATATTTTATTTCAGTAGAACTACATTGTATATGTTGTAATCTGTAATATGTCTTTAAAATTTTTGAATGGGAATATTATTTTTCTCTCAAATGATTTTACTACATTTGAGTGTATTTTAAAACTTGAATTGTTGATGATTTATATCCATTGAGGATAGTATTCTTAATTTGGTCGGTTTCAAAAGGGTCTTAACTCCTTCCTTAACAAGGAAGAAGACTTGAATTATATATACTTCAATAGCTTAAAAACAAATACAAAGTTTTACATAAATACAATTTTGCGTTGGATGAATTAAAGTAATTCTTAACCTAAAAACATTGAAGCTTTGGGATATGGAAATGTTTCAGAACATGGAAATACAATTTTAAATATAAATACAACCAAAACTGGATGGTTACTTTAAAACATTAAAAAAATTCTAGAATGTTTCTCTTACCACTTTGTGATAATAATCTAGCCATTGTTTTATATAAGAATTAAAATGAAACTTCATGAAGATTATTTTAATGTTCCTTTCAGCTTTTTTCATTTTGAGTATTTACTGAGTGTCAGATTCTGAGGAATACAAAGATAAGACCCATTTCTTGCCTCAATAAACTCAATCTGATGAGAGATGGACACAGATCATTTTTATTTTCCCAGCCAAATACCAGATATCATTTTATGGTATCCAGTCAAAGAGATACCATATTAAAAGGCATGGAAAGTGTACAACAGCAAACAAAGAGAAATCATGGATAAGGTTATGAAGAGCAGGGTTGGTGACATGATGAAGCTGACCTGGTAATGTCAGACTATAAAAAGGCTGTATGCCATTCTAGTGAGTCTGCACCATTGTAAGTTTGATTAGGTTTGGCATGATCAGGTTTGTTTTCAGAAAATAATTTGGGCAGTAGTTAGTAAACTAGACGATGGCTGGAAAGTAACAGAGATTTGAAGTCAAGAACCCTAGGCAGTGGAAGGAGAACCTCCACTAAGGGAGAAGTACAATGGGTATGAAGAATGGGTATAGACAATAGTGAAGGCAATGTAATCAAGGAACTTGGTAAATATTGGATGAGTGGAAGGAAGGAAATAGAGTCATCAAAGCTGCCTGACTTTCTAGTTTTATGCTCAGGGAATCTTAAGAGGATAAATAAAGTTGGCTTTGAATGTAGTATATTTGTTTCCAGACATGTTTGATTCAATAAATTTAACATTAAATTTGAAAATAATATTAACTAATTTGTCTTTGAATGCATATTATAAAAAATATACTAGGTATTTCAAGGCTTGTCTCATTTAATTATCTTACTATGTAATAGTATCTCATTTTTCTTATTAAAAAACTGAAGCTAAGAAATTTCTTATTTTCTCAAGATTAGATACCCCAGTGGCTAAACTGGACTTTTAGCATAAGCCTCTCTACAGGTTCAACATAAATTTCACAAGAGTAAGATAATGTATATATAAGAAATAATATAATTTTGTGTTAGAAATTCAGCCAAAAATTATGATTATTCAAAAATACTTGTCATTCTATAAATATAAGATTTTAGATGTAAGCCCTAAATATTATAACTCTTGCTCTACCTATATTCCATTATCTGTCTCTTATGTCTCTCTTCCTTATCTCATGGATTTCTCTCTCCCATGGAGGTCAATATACTCTGCCAGTGCTCCTGCCTACCTTGTTTTTGTAAATAAAGTTTTATTGAAACACAGCCATGCCTATTTATTTGCATACCATACTTGGATACCTTTGTGCAACAATGGCAAAGTAGTTGCATCAAAAATTATAGGGCCCTCAAAGCCTAAAATATTTCCTATTTTGTCCTTTACAGAAAAAGTTTTCTGACCCCTGGACCAAATTGTCAATTCCACAAGAGTTTACTGTACCAATCCCTTGGGTACCCCCTGCATCTAGACCAGTTTCTGGCACATGGCGTGTACTCATTAAGAATTCTTTGAAGGAATAAATGAATTGATTACCATTATATTTAGGTATCAAGAACTACAGCAGTACTTATTAAGTTGACACTTTCAAAATTAACATAGAGTTTGAGTTTATTTTTGATACTACCTTGAGTGCTTATCAAATTTTAGAACTGCAGAAAGTTCACCTCTGGAGATTAAATAAAAAATGACTCCTATGATCAAATTAATAAAAGCTGCACATGAACTTTACAACACAACATGACATTACTGTTTCCCCACTTCTTTTTGCTTTTGTTTCTGTTTTTATTATTTACAAAGCTTTTTCTAAAAGACTTCTCTTACTAGAATACATTGAGATTGTTTTTCCTGGTCCATTTGTTCTAATACTGTTGGTCAAATACTTGTTTTGTTGTCTTCAGTATTAACACTTACAGGCATTTTTATTTAATTAAAAAAGGAAACAAACCTGTTCTTCTTTTCTTATTGCATTAAGAAATTAAATGAGCAAGCAGCAGAACTGTTTGAATCTGGAGAGGATCGAGAAGTAAACAATGGTTTGATTATCATGAATGAGTTTATTGTCCCATTTTTGCCACTGTTATTGGTGGATGAAATGGAAGAGAAAGATATACTTGCTGTGGAAGATATGAGAAATCGGTGGTGTTCGTATCTTGGACAAGAAATTGAATGTAAGTTTAAATAATGCTAGTGGGCACCTGAGTTGCTGGGATTAAAAGCAGTTAGAATTAGATGTTATTTATTCTTAACTTTTTTTATGCTCTGTAATATTTTTATATTTACATCTTTACTTTTTTTTCTTATTTACAAGCTAAGCTGTATACACTGTGTACCACTGTTGTCATTTATATCTTACCTCTTCTCAAAAAATTTATTCTACGTATTTTAAAATAAAACATCAGCTGAGCATTCCAAAAAAATAAATCATTTTGAAGATGATCATTTCTCTCCCTCTCTCTCTTTACTTACACCTAATTTGTGTTTGCAGCACATCTCCAAGAGAAGCTGACAGATTTTCTGCCAAAACTCCTGGATTGTTCCACAGAGATTAAAGGTTTCCACGAGCCACCGAAGTTACCTCCCTATTCCACACATGAACTCTGTGAACGATTTGCCCGAATCATGTTGTCTCTCAGTCGAACTCCTGCTGATGGAAGATAAACTGCATACACTCTCCCTAAACACACTGTATAAAATTTTTTAGTTCTTAACCCTTGCCTTCCTGTCACAGGGTTTGCTTGCTGCTGCCATAGTTTTTAAAGTTTTTTTTTAATTTTAATAATGGTAAAAGACAAAATGACTCTACAAACTTTAGCCAGACTGCAAACAATAAAGCTGAGAATAGCATGGCGCTCAGACTTTGTTTTAACCAGAACTGATGTATAATCACAGATCTGATTGATTTTATTATGGCAAAACCATGCTTTTGCCATCTTTCTGTTACAGTATTATCATGCTTTTATCTTTTCTTTATCTACAGCTTTCCATTCAGTATGGATCCTTCCATGACTACAGCCATTTAAGTGTTCAGCACTGTGTACGATATATAATATTTGGTAGCTTGTAAATGAAATTAAGAATAAAGTTTTATTTATGGCTACCTACGTGTTTGTAAGCAGGTATATTGTATATTAGTGTATTGTTTTAGTTATGTAAATGAACTTTGTGTGGGACTGTTTAAGATTGGGTGATGAATAGATTAATATAAACTTTTAATTTTGCTCTAATGTTAACACATTGGAAATTTCTAAGTATTTGACATTTAAATATATCTATTTTTGACTAAGTTGTTAAACTTACTATGGCACCTACACCTGTTTTGAATTCAAGTCGGGTTTTCACTGAAGTAAGCAGCTGATATTTAAGTCAACCACACTGAAACTTTTAACTTTTTCTTAGATTCACCTTTTATTTTTTTATCTATTTACAAATAATATAGTAAGGTGATTATTTCAAAAGATATCAGAAAAAAGTACTTGAATAAGGGCTATTTGATAGTAAACCTTATAAGAAGTATGTATATGTATATATGCACATACATATACACATACACACATATTCTTCATAATGGAGGACATTGTTTGGCATATATAACATTCTATTTTTGTAAATTGTATACCACTTTAACTGAAAATGTTCTCTACTAATCAATGCTGTGAAATGAAGGTATTGTTGAATGAGAAGTTTTGAGTATCTTACCTGCTTTTATTTTTCTCCTTTTCAAAAAGGAAAATATTTTGTAGATGGAACTGCTGTTTAAGATTAATGGGGTAATATTGTGAATGAAAATCAATGCTTTAAAGGTAACTATGTTACCAACAACCTATTTTTGAATTTATAAAAATTTCTTTATAAATGATACTTTGTTAGCATAGTAAAATATATCATTATACTATGTGTATGTTTGTTACAGCGTCGTCACCAAAATTAGTGCTCTTTATAAGTGCCTCTCACAAAAGATACTGGATAATGGAGGAAGAAGAAAATATTAAGCTATTATATAATGCTCCTTATAAAGGTATCAGTATATTGCTACAGTATTAATGGCAAGGAATTGGTACTGTTTCTGTTGTAAAATTAGAATTTGCATGTTTGTAGCTATCAGAATATGTTTTGTTTTAGATTTTAAATTATCTACTAAGCAGATTTAATATTCTACATTGGTTTCAAATCAACAGTTTTAAAACTCCAAATATATTGCCAAAGGTTTTGTAGTATCTTCAGTATTTTATGATATTCTATCATTAATGGTAAAGTTTGTGTTTTTGTGTGTAACTGACTACTAAGACACAAAGTGCTCAAACACCATATGGATATTACTCCCTTCACAAGGCAATGTGAGATTCATATGTGGCTCTTGTGCTGAAGGTAAGTTATTAGTATTATATTTACTTAGTACTTAAAAAAATGGTTTATTCATTCTTAGTAATGAATCTGAAGTACTTAATTAACGAAGTGACCTTTTTCAAGACCTGGGGAAACAACTTGTTTTTGTATCAGCTTTTAATTCAGTCTTAAGAAGTGATTGAAATTTCCTTACGTTGTTTACTGGGTTACATATAACTTACAGCTAGTAATTTAAAAATTGAAATCTCTTACAACTGTTATCCATGGCTGATTTTACTTTTATTTAAATGACTCTCATTTTGATTATTATAGTATTCTTGTCCCACCCCTAAAAAATCACATTTTGAAATAATTTAGAGTAGAATTAAAACAGACTTTAAGATTTAGGAACTTCTTATAAACACAAAGTTTAGGGAGACTGTATCCAGGAGTGAACCTAGGAGACCCTGTAATACTTTTAAGATTCAGTAAAATACAGTAATGATCACAGGTACACTAAATCAGTAGTTCTCAAAATGTGGTCTGCAGGCCAGCAGCTTCAGCAGCATCTGGAAATATGTTAGATCTGTGAAGTCATGACCTCCACACTAGAAATACTGATTCAGAAACTGCAAGTTTTAGCAAGTTCCAGTGAGTCTTTCAGATGATTTGATGTCTGCGAAAGTTTGAGAACCATGGCACTAAATGAAACTACCAATAGCATTTAATTCACCTTAATGGATGCTGTTTTATTTCCATTCACTTCTGATCCTTTTTCAAAAGCTTTTCAGTATTTCTCTCACTTGCAATTTTAAGGAAGTGACTAAAAATTTTTTTGCTTCCCTTATCAATTTTCTAAAGTGGATTTTCTCTGCCTATCTAATTCTCCAAAAGTTCTCTTTGTTTCATTATTCAGGGTTGAGTCCTGCTGACATGGCCCAAAAAGCACAATCACTCAGATGCTTGGGGAAATGAGTAGGGATACTCACTCTTGCTTAAACATTTTTTAAAATTTATGTTACTAAGCAAATTAAATATCATTTGTTGTGCCCATGATAACTCCATCCAAAGGATGAGTATTAGTTTGCTAGGTATTAGTTTGCTAGTATTAAAATACCACAGACTGGGTGAGTGGCTTAAAACAAATTTATTTTCTCACAGTTCAGGAGGCTAAAAGTCCAGATCAAGGTGTTGGAAGGCTTCGTTTTTCCTGAGGGCTCTTGGCTTGCAAACAGGAGGCTTATCACTTTGTACTCACATGACCTTTTCTGTCTGCACACACACACATCTCTAGTGTCTCTGCCTCCTCTTATAAGGACATCAGTCATACTGTATTAGAGCCCCACCCTTATGACCCCATTTAATCTTAATTACTTCTTTAAAGGTTCTGTCTCCAAAAGCAGTCACAATGAGGGTTAGGGCCATCTCCTTGCCAGACAAGAGTATGATTGTTAGCACCTTCCTTTTAGCCTAATGATACAATGTGAATATCTATAGTTCTGCTTTTACGTCTGCTTTATTGTTTTCTTTTACCTACTAAAAACTATATTGAAGTTACTGTAAACCAAGTTAGGAATTGCATTCATGCAATTAGTGTGTTTTCATTGAACAAACGTTTGCTGAATTAATGAAATAAGTCCATGTTGACTTGTCCTTGTTTATGTTTATCAGTGTCACTTAACTTCATACCATGAATCCATTTCTATTCTGCAAGTATTTTTATTCTTACCTACTCCTAATTTCTTTTCCATCCCCCAGTTTACCCCTACCCTGTAGATACTTCTGTTAACCATTATGGCCACATGTTTTTCCAGATTTGGATAATGTTATACAGCATATGCATATAAGCAGTGGTGGGGGGATGGAATGGGATAGGGTCAGATTGCTTTTAAAAAAATGAAATAATCATATGTTCATTACATCTTTTTCCTGCTCCATCCTGTACTTTCTAGCCTCCAGCTCCTCCTTTTTTCAACAATATTTGATAAAGGTGACTTATAATAATAAAATCATAAATAATTCTAATAAATACCATTACATGAATAATTAGATGAGTCGTGATTGAGGAAACTACATACACAACTGAATACACACATGTGCACAGACCATAATTTAAAATATTTCACTCACAGTTCTCAATGACTACTTCGGACCTTCATTAACTATCCTCAAACGTCTATTAAGTGTCAGTGCCAGTAAAACAAGATGATCATCTTTCCTTTGCCTTACCAAAAAATTGGGTACACTGGGTATGATCTCCTTCAGCTTTTCACTTCCATACCTATATCTATAAATTTATAATTAATTATTGTTAACCAGAATGTCAGAAGGAAATAGACATTATTGACAACCCAGTGTTATGAGGAAAATGTAAACAAAAGCAAACATAGTATCAAATTAATCTTCAAATAAGTACACCCATTATTTGGGGACTTACTTGCTCTTCTATGGAATTAATTTAAAAGTACACTTTTTTTTTTTCTGTAAGTAGCCCAAAGCTTGTACAACAGAAGTTTATCGTTTAGCAAATGGTTCTCACTTTTTCAATAATCTAGAGTTCGATTAGTATTTTTAACCCTGGGTGTACATTGAAAGCATGTGAAGAGCGTTTTTTGAAAAGGAACATTTTACTCTATCATTGGATATAATCTATCAAGGATCTTAAAAGGCTTTCAAAATGAGAACTGGTTTGAGAACATTTTGTGGGTGCCTCTCTGACTTCAGCTTTTCTAAGGTCACCTGAGGCCCTACCCTGAGAAACTAACAGCACCTAGCTATCATAGGATGGAGAAATTTCTTTTGCATTATTGTGTGTCATGAAAATGCAAGGAATTTAAATGTTTCCTGATGACCCCCTCAACCTTAAGGTATGGCCATTTTGGTATGTGCTCCAACTAAAGCTGCATTAAACTATTTTTCAGTCATCATCCTAGGAGTTTCTCTGAGTTGTTGACTGCAGGCTTTAGAAGCAGACTGCCCAGGTCTAGGTCCTGGCTCAGCGACTTAATAGCTGTGTGTTGACTTTGAGAGCTCTTTAACTTTGTGCCACAGTTTATGCATCTGTAATGTGGGATTACACTGTAACTTACCCTATAGGATTCGTCTCAGACACTACATTGTTTTCTATATATAAAACTCTTAGGAAATGTCTGCCACATAGTAAGTGTTCTGCAGTTGTCAGCCCTTTTTACAATTTGTTGCATTGATTCTCCTGATTTTCAGAATCTCTCCCTTATAGAGACAGGCTCCTGTGGGCTACTCTCCTTCCTATCTGCATTCCTTGTCACTTACTTTTCCTTCTACTCCTTGAATGTCAGTGTTGTCAAAGTTCAGGAAGTGGTTCCCTTGTAACTCCTCACTGTCCTGGATGGTCATGTCTACCAGTCTGTCTTCCTGTACTGCCTGTATGCTGATGATCATAAGTCGGTGTTTCAAACCAAGCCTCCCTTGTAAATTCTAGACCTGTGTATATTTCCAGCTGTCAGTCAACATGTATTCTTGAATGTTTCACAGGCACTTTAAACTTTGCACATCCAACAACACTTTTTCCCAAATCTTATTGTTTTATATTCCCTTGAGTATAATCTGGGAAATGATATAATCCAGAAATGAGGAATTATTCTCAAAATTACCTTTCTTTCCCACTGATTACCAAATGTCAAGAGGTCAAATTTGTTAATATCTTGCTCATGCATCCCTTCACTACTACTGTTGATGAGGTCTCATTTCTTAATTTGATCAGTTGAATTTATCACAGAGTGGCCTCTCTGTCTTTGATCTTGCCCCTGCAATCCATCTTCCACACTGTTGGCATAATAATTTTTCAACAAAGTTTTATATGTCTTCCTTTGCTGGACTGAGGTCCTTTAAAGGGAAAGGACCGGTTTTTATAACCCAAGTACCTAAATTATCTGGCAACCTAATGAACGTGCAGTCTTGCAGGTTCACTGGTCTTCTAGTCACCTTAAACTGGCATAGTCTAATGTGGTCTAATATAGTAGCCACTAATCACATGTGGCTATTAAAATTTAAACCAGCCAGATAGCAAGTATATAAGATAAAATAAGCTTAAGTAATAAAAGTAATCATGTACCCAGTTAGACACTTAACATTTTTGTGTTTATGCCTCTGGAAAGCTTTATATCATGTGCACATTGGCACACATAACACACCTGTAAATGATTTTCATAAAAACTTAAAAAATAAAATAAATGTAGATATTTCCATGAAGGTGTTTATAGTAAGTCCATATTTCTTACTGCTTTACCTTATTTGGTAAGGAAAATGTGCTATAATTTATTCATAGACATACAATGTAGCTCCTGCTTACGTCTGTGTGTGTACTGTTTTAAGCATTTTTGTCTTTCTGCTAAATTTCTAAATGTATAATATCTGAGTTACTGAGTATATAGACATAAAATTTGAGCTAAATCGTCAAATTGTCCTACACCAAAACTATTCCAGTTTACACTGCCAGCTCTCTAGTGCATGAGAGCGTGTTTCTTCACAGGTTCAACAAGACAAATATTATCAGTCTTTAATATTTTTCAGTAGCGGCCAGAACTTTATTGTACTTTATTTTTAGTGAGAGTGAATATACTTTAATATGTTAGTAGTGGTTTGTATTTATTGTATACTTAACTACCTACTTGTGTCCTTTGCACTTTTTCTTTTGAGTGTTCATGTCTATAAATTTGCAGTAGCTCATATTAGGAATCATGAATACTTTATCAGACAAATTGCAAATTTTTCCCATATGTCCTTTATATCAAGCTTGCTTATAATATTGTTTATGACTTCATTTTTATGTAGTCAAAACTGTTGACTTATAATTTCTGCCTTTGATACCATGTTTAGAATGAATTCTTCCTATCCAAGGTTATAAAAATACCCATGTTCTGATATTTTTATGATTTTTGTTTCTTATGTCAGTCTTGAATGCAGTTAGAAATTATATTCACTTAAGGGGTGAAGAAAAGATTCACAAATTTCTGCCAAGATTATGTAGTTGTCTTAATACAATTTATAAAATAATTCCTCTTTTCCCTTACAGATCTAAAATGTAATCTCCACTAGATAATAAACTTTTGTATTTGATATTCATAAACACTATCAATTCTATTTATATTTTTGTCTATTCAACTATCATTACTAATTTAATTACTGTTTTAATACTGATTTAATATATTTGTGTTTTATAACTAATACATATTTTCCTATCTAATATGTCAAGTGTTAACTCCCCAACACAAATGCCCTTAATCCTTAATACTCATTTTTTTCAAAATTTTATGTACTCTTTTGCAGATAAACCTTGGAATTATTTAATCTTCCTTCAAATAAAAATCCTATTGGAATTTTGATTATAATTACATTGGCTTACATAGATTTGCATATAGAGAAACTGTAGCCTTTACAATATTGAATCTTAGTATCCAAAGAGAATATTGTCTGTCCTTTGATCAGATTCATATGTCACTCAGCGTTTTAAAATTATTTTTATTTATCTTTAATTCTAGGTATCCTAATGTGTTTTAATGTTTTTGTTGGTGTTTATGAATGAACTACTTTTTCCTGCCTTATAAAAAGTTTCCTAATTGAATATTACTGATACAGAACATCACCTCTCAAATCTTGTAGTCCCAGGAACTCCTCACACTAAGAAGACACTGAGGACCTAAAAGAGCTTTTGTTTGGCCAGGTTATATCTATTGGTAATTCAGTTTAATAACTGAAACTGTAAGAAAGTAAAAAGTAGCTAAATTTTCTGGCTGGTCTTTCTTTTGGAGGCTGGTGTGCTTAAATCACAAACCTGAGGCTTGAAAGGAAATAAGTTACCAATTATAACTACCCCACCCATCACAGTAATTATGAAAACTATGCTGTGCTCACAATTCCACACAACACATAGTATTAACTGAAAGTTTGGACTAGCTACTGCAAAAACACAGATTATTTAAAAAATAGGAAGCACTTTTCAAAAGTAGTCATTTAATTTCTTTAGGAAATTAAAAATCATATTAAGTTTAGCAGTTTGGAATTTCATTGTGTCTTCAGTAGGCCTGGAAATTTTACCCAATAAGACAACTGCTCTTTTGCTTCAGCTACACTTCCCTTGCCACAAATTTTGAAAGTGTTTCCAGGAAGAAAGCTTACCTGATATGCTTCACTGCCCTCAAGTACTGCAGGCGCGCTCTGCTGGAGCTTGCTGCAAACCCTGGGAAGAGTTGGTTCATATGTTTTTATCCAGTTTTGTGGTTATTGGTGGCAGGAAAGTTTTTCTGATACCACCTGTTCCATGATGGCTAAGCCATAGAAGTCTATATATCTTTTAGAAGACAGCATAGAAGTATCTTTATGATCTTGTAATAACAATGGATTTCTTAACACAGAGGAAGAATTTAGGCATGAAGGAAATTTTTGATAAGTTTAACCACATTAAGACTTGTGTCCATCAAAAAAAAAAAATCAGCCCTAGAGTAAAAAGACAAGGCAATATAGTGCGAGAAGGTATTTGCAATGTGCAAGATGACAATGCAATAATAGAATTATCTAAAGGATGGACTTATATGTATGTGTTATGGATTTCTGGAGATAATTATGATGACATACTTTCTGAAATGTTCCAAGCTACTTTTTTCAGTAAAACAACAACAAGGAAAGCTAGAGAAAAGTCCATAGGTGGCATTTTTCAACAAAACCAAGTGACAAGGCATTCCCATGACACAAAATCAAGTCAGATGGAGCCAAAGTACAAGCAACCACAATATTTTGGCAAGACTTCGGCAGGTTTAGTGTATGTGAGGAGGTAGCAGAGTAAAGTTAAAAGGGCAATTCTGTGAGTCCTAAGACCTCCAGAAAACAGAAATTGCCAGTAAGTATCCACAAAGCAAGAAAGACCCTCAATCTGATTGGAATCTTCTGCAAGTAGGTGTGAGAACAACTGGCAAAAGGGAGAAGGCTCCATTGGCTTCAATTTGCAGATTAATATAAAAGGACATGGACACTAAGGTGTTGCAAAAAAATCACAGGTTGCTGAGTTAGTCTGACCCTCAAGCGAATGCTTAAAAAGACTTTCAGAAGGACAAATCATCCTAGAGAAAAAAAAGCTGCTGAGAATAGAATCCAAGTGAGATGGACTTAATCCAAAAATCCATTTAGTCATCTGACGTGCATACATTTCTGCTCTTACTGGTATACCGTAATGACTCCCCTGCATCCCCAGGAATTAGTATCAGTTCAGATGTGGCATCCATTGTACCTAAAATGCCTGATATTTCCTTTTCCTAATGCAGTCACCTTAGTAAACAGGTTTCTTAAGGGGAATATGGTGACTTAGAGTGTGGATACACCGCACAGTTGGGAGCCTTACCAGCAGGGCTAACTCTCCACTTCATTCACCTGGTTCTGGGGCTACAAACTGGCTTGAGTCTTGGAATTGGTTGAGAGACCATGACTCCCATTGTGGTGATTCAAGTCAAACGTCCATTCAACAGAGTTAAACACTTTTCTTTAATAGGCTATTTAGCTATTTCATCCCTAGGGCACCATGGCAATTAGACATTCCAAAGCTCAAACCTCCAGTTACTTTGTGTTGCCATTAAAGTAATCATGCCCACCTCATCTCTGCTAGTTCAGTCATGCTACATGATCCCTACCTCTCAGGAATCCTATTATTCCCACCAAATCCTGGGAAACTATTCTGAGGGCAGCATTTCCCACTGTCATTTCTGGTGGACAGAGCAGCTAGCTACAAGAGCGCTTCAAAGATGCTGGTGAACATTTCACCAATACATTTCCCAAAGATTTGATGAAGGAAGCAACTTCTGGACTCTCCAAGGGCCACAGCATATGGGTGAGCAGGTCCTATGTAATAAATCTCCAGCATTGCAATATCCCTAAAGCTTTGGACAAATTCATACACCGTACACCAAACAAGTTCTGGCATCTCTGCTTTGTTCAGCATCAGCCACTATTTGAGTCCAAGTTTCAGTGAACCAAACCAGAAAACTTAGAGATGCTCTAGCCATTGAAGCCAAAAACTGAATCCAGAATCTTTGGTTAGGGCTTCTGTATCAAGAGATTCAGGCTAATCCAACATTGTGTTCCTTCACACTGATTGAACGTCCATTCTTACACATAGACCTCAGGTCTCTCTCAGTATAAATTGTCAGAATATTTTTATTACTTTGACGTGTATACTGTCTTTTCTTGGATCACACTTTGTAGTTTAACTTGAGTCTGAATATAGAACTATAAGCAATGAGAGGTAGTAAGTGTAAATACTGAGAAATAATAGCAGTTCCCTGCAAGGCACTACCTCCAGCAAGGCCAGTATGGGTTTTTCAGGCAAGGGAAATCTATAAAGTGTAGGAAGACTGTTACTGACAAGGTTCAGCAGGATTTGGGGGATTAAGATCCTCAGCTCCAGTGGAAACTTAATGAGTTCCTATGCAGTTTTCAGGGTCCCACTCTTTCCTAGTCAGTGGCTTTGCTTTAACATGAGATATTCTTAATGCTGTGAGTTTAATTTGCTTTTTAATTCAGCCACCCACATAGTTATAGACTTAGAATGTGATTTTAGAAATGGCCTTGTGGCTACAGGAGACGGGTTTCATTTAGGACAGTTGCAAAGCGTTCTTGTCCTTTACCCAGCCTTTGAGATGGGAATTTAAGGCCCTGAGCGCATCATTTTCTTTGTTCAATTCTTCGAAGCAACAACCAGTCCCTTTATGCTCCAATTTTCTCTAAAATATGACAGCAGCCACTTAGTTACTCTAAGTCTTGCCTTCTATAGGCATTTAGTCATGGGTGGTTTCAGGTGGTAATTTATGTCACGATTTTGCCCGTGCAATCCAAGGTCTACCAGTATCCCCTTTAAGATAGGCAATAGTATTTCACTTTAATCTGATTAGATTGAACATAAAAATTATAGGTTACCATACTCAAGATTTTGTTACCCTAGCACTATTTCTGCTACCAATAACTACATTTACAAGGTTAAATGAGGGAAGCAGAACCTCTATGAGTTGTGAGATAAGATACATAGAATTAAAACTTACAGAACTGTGGGAGGATCTTGGAGGTGAAGTTCTAGGAGAGAAGTTGGAGATCAGAGAAGGCGTTACTGACAGATTGACCTGGGAAGCCGAGCATGCCTAAGGCTGAAGTGGGACTCTGAAGAGAAGGCTCAGAGGGGGATTTTTGAGAATAACTACCACCTCCATCATGGTGATAGGTCTGAGGCAAGTGATAATTCATCGAATTAAGAGTCAAAAAGAGCTGAGTGTGAAGTGGAGGAGAGCAGGTAGAAGCTAGAATCTATATGGTGTAGGTCACTACATCTAGCTAATGGCCTTCAGAAAACAAAGGCTCACTCTTCACTTGTACTTTCTCTATCTTTTGTCCATTCTTTTGGTCAGTGCTAACTAGCAACCATACAGAAGATAGATTCTAAAAAATAGACATATAAGTTTAGCAGTTGACACAGTTCACACTATGATGATGGCATAGAGAAATATTTCCACAAAGCAAAAAATATATATACATATGTATGTATATATATATATATATATGTATGTATGTGTATATATACACACATTCACATATATAAAATAGCAAATGTTTTAAATAAAAAAGTGGATTTGAACAGGGGCTTTACAAAACAGTATAAAAATGACTGATAAACATGGAAAAGAGCTCAATCTCATTAGTAATTGGAGAAAATACAAATTAAAACCACAGATACCACAAATGACAAAGATGGCAGAAAATAAATAATCCTTGGCACTATCAAATGTTGGTGTGTATGTATCCACAGGAACACTCATACTGGTGAATGTATAAATCAGTGCAACCACTTTAGAAAGGTGGCATTATTTTAAAACATTTGAAGTAGATATGAGTGCATTATTCAGCACTTCCTAAATCTGTTTCCTAATATCTGGGTACATGTACATCAGTTTACACATACAAAAATTATTTTAGAAGTATTGTTCATACTTGCAAAAACTAGAAACAGCCCAAATATCCATCAACAGTAAACTGATAAATTGTAGCACAATTACATATTAGAATACACCAAAATAACAAGGAGCAAACAACTGC